ATGATCATGATGAAGTCAAACTTTAATAAACAATGGTCAATCATTAATGGCAGTACAGTAAATAAATAAATATATGATGGTCAAATATATACAAACTACCACTAACTAAGGGTACAATAGTCATTAATCAGCTCAACTCACTTATCATACCTTCTCTCTCTCACACACACGCACACACACAAATCACACCCGTCATACACACACACGCGGAGGTCGAAACACACTCACACACAGAAGTTACGAGCAGAGCCACTAACAGCCACCTGCTCCGCCGCGGGAACGGCCTGTCGCCGGAACAAGCATAGTCGATGACATTAACGCAACTACCAGAGACAGCCGCCTTCACGAGCCAAGCCACCATCAACATTCTGCTACGCCTCCAGCACGGCCAGTCGCCGCCACAAGCTCAAGCGGTCGCGTTGACCCTGCTGCCAAAACCCACCGTCGTTGTCATCCCGTAACAACACAACCACCGCCACCACATACTAGCCGGAGATTCAACACATAACTCGACAATTACCGGCATCCTTCGTCTTCCTCTGCATCTCTGCCGCTGTCGATGGTTGTCTCAAGGGACGACCGCCAGCAACTCGCCTGAATTCGGAATCCCATCCAATATTGACATTTTAAATAATCTCGAGCACCGGCCGCATATCTGGCGATTGACTTCGTGGCGCGATCTCGAATACCATCGGAAGGTTAACTATCTCGCAACCTACAATGGTGACCAGAATCTGACTTTAGATGGCCAACGGGCGACGGGTCTGTAAGTTGGCGTGATCGGCGTTCATGTGGCATCAATTGAACAGATTTATGAATTTGGGTGTGGGAGATGGCCTACCTTTTGAAATTAGATTTTTTAAAAGGGACTAATTTGGATTTTTATGATTAGTGTGTTAAATATGTAATTTACAATAAATATTAAAGGCACAATTTCCGGTGTTGGGGCTTGGCTAGGGGCCTTTCCTAGAGTCGGTTGTTGCTGCTTTTTCGGCTTTGTCAGATCTCCGGGGGAGGGTTGTTTAGTTTTTTTTTTTTGCTTTCTAGTTTGTTTTGTAGGATGTCCTTTTATTTGCTTAGTATGGTTGTTGTTTTTGTTTCAGAAATGAATATAGGCTAGGCATTTGCAGTGGCTCTGTTTTTCATTTTCCTTTATTTTCGTTTTGGAGTTCTTTAGGCCACCTAGTGCGTGTCCTCTCAGTTTGCTCTTCTTGTTTATTGTGTTAGGTATGTTTTTGGTTTGGGTCGTTGACCCCTGTCTTATTACCCTGTTGGGGCCGTAGATTATTACCCTGTTGGGGCCGTAGATTACCCCGTTGGGGTCTTGTAATTTGTTCTTTTTGCACTTTTGTGCTTTGTTATATTACATCTATCGTTCTGAAAAAAAAAAGTACACAATATTGTATGTGTATATGCACATTTAAAATTTAAAAAATTACAAAAATGTCAACTCAGTACAAAATTTGCAATATTGTTTATCGATCGGTTTAGTTGAACCGACATATCAAAATGTCAAAACCGAAACAAGAAAGCGAACTTTTGGAAAATAGATTTGTCCAAACATTTGTCCCCAAACCAATCTAAAATCATACAAACAATAATCGTTTTATTCACTCGGCTAATTGGCTTAGCCAAAATAACTAGAATGTATTATTATTTATATTATAAAAATGTATTGAGTTTTTCAACATTTAGTATACATCTATTTTTTATTGTTTTTGTCTGGAAGAAAAAATACGCGTATATAATAAAAATATGTAAAAAAATATAATATTCATATAACTCGATTAGATTGGTTATTTTAAAAATAAAATCGAAATTGAACGGAAATAACTAAGATTTTAAAATTAAAAGTTGATAAACGAATCGACATATAAAAACCTAACGGAAAAGTTTATTTCAATATGTTCCAAACATTTTTTTCCAATCCTGCGCACCCCTATACGCGCTACAAAATGCACAATAGAGATAAATTAAATGCACATCAACACTTGTAAATCTGCACAATAGAGCAGTAGTTTAATTTTAAAATTTTCACGTTAGTCATTGCACATGATATACAGTCACGCTAATGTTCATTCTGTTATGGATTAATTTGCATTTCGTCTACCACAATTGTGCATTGTGTAACACTATTTTTTTATTGTGTATAACTGTACGAAATAATGTGCGCTTTATGTATCATTATCGTGCATTTATCAAAAGTACATGTATTTCAAGCAAGTAATGTTATTTATGAATTTATCCAACTATTTATATTATCATAATATAATTAGTAATTATCATGTATTAATATAATGTTTTCTATCAAAATACAATATTTTTTTATATATTTCAATCGATTCGGTTATTTCGATTATTATAAAAATAAAATTGAAATCAAACCGAAAACCCATAATTTTAAAAGAAAAATTCGACTACCTATAGATCGGATATTTTGGACAATTTGTCCATCAACTTTAAGTAAAACAAGTAATATTTACGTCCATTTAAATTTTAGAAAATCTTTATAATGTTTATTTACATTAACATTATTATGCAGTCCGACATTCAATAGCGTGCATCTTGAATAACGTTATTGTGCATTCCACGTAATGGTGATTATTATGTGCAAATCTAAGCATGATAGTGTGTATTGGATTAAACATTATTGTGCAAATATAAACTTTTATCAATTTACAAATTTAACCCATGCACTTATTTGCATATAGGTGAAATTCTTTTATTTACATACAAGTCCCTTGGACTTGTCAAATTTACCAAAAAAAGGCCCTAGATCTCTGAACGTTCATAATTCCCATTCGGAAATTAATTCTTCTCCTTGGACTGTCATCTTCGTTCTTGGTCGTCTGCCGCGCCCACGCCCCGCCTATTCCAGCACGCACCTCCTCAGTCCGACCGACCTCTAGATTCCATCGGAACGCACCCCGTCATTCGAAACGAACCCGTCCGTGAGGAAGGA